GATGCTGCTTGGCCTGCTGTGTTCATCCAGCTCTGCACCTTGTTATCTCAGATTCTCCAGCAACTGCAATTCCTACTATCTCTGATGCATTTTACCTTTATCCTTTTACATGTTTCCAGTAATATAAAACTTGTCAATAATGTTTCAGTAAGTGCCTCCTTCTGCACTGTGACAATTTTTTGATTCTGTGATATGCAGTTCATACGCATGCAAGTGTGTCAACATAATGTTCACTGTTGAATTCAGGACTACTTAGATACATATTGATCAGTTACTTTACATTATTTCTCATCCAGCTGTTGTGCCAGGTCATCAAAATTTAAGAACCATATTGGGAACAATCAGCCTAGCACAGGACTGGAATCTATTTACTCCATGGCATGAGAATAGAAAGGGAAAAGGGTTTTTTTTATACAGAACATTAGAATTGGAGGAAGAAAAGGCCTTTTGGTTCTTCAAATCTGTTTTATCATTCAATAGCTTCGTGGCTAATTTGATTGTGGTCTTAATTACACTCTCCTGCCTGTCTCCCATAACCCATAATTCACTTGTTGATGAAAAAATGTCCAATTCATGATTGAATGATACAAAAATCCTACCTGCACGACACTTGGGGCATAGAATTTCAAAATCTAACACCTCTCTGAGTAAACATTCCTCCTCACTAAGTGATCTCTTATTTTGATACTGTGCCTCCAGTTCTAGACACACCCATAAGGGGAAATATTCTTCCAGAAAGTTTCAATCGATCAGATTCTTTTACTTAGATCACCTCTAATTTTTTTTCTAAACCCAATGGATACAGAGCCAACCAGCACAACATTTCACAATGAAACAATCTCTCCAAACTAGGAATCAAATCAGTGAGCCTTCCCTGAACTGTCTCTAACGAATGTATATCTACTATCACTTTCCCAAGGCCAGTTGGGGATGGGCCGAATGGTGGTTTAGCCGAGGATGCTACATCCTGTAAAAGAGAAAAAAAATCTCCCAAATAAGGGGATCAAAACTGTATGTGTATTCTAGGTATGGTCTCACCAATGGCCCACAGAGTTGTAACAAGGGTCATAGAGTCTTGGAATCATACAGCACGGAAACAGATTCTTCAGCCCAAATTGTCCACACTGACCAAGTTGCCCAAACCACACTAGTCCCATTTGCCCATATGCCTCTCAACCTTTCCTATTCATGTACCTGTCTGTCTTTTAAATGTTGTAACTGTACCCACATCCGCCATGTCCTCTGACAGTACATTTCACGTACAAACCACCGTCTGTGTGAAAAAGCTACCTCTTGTGTCCCTTTTAAATCTTTATCCTCTCACCTTAAAAATTTTCCCAGTTGTTTTGAACTCCCCTACCCTAGGGAAAAGACCTTTGCTATTCACCTTATTTATGTCCCTCATAATTTTATAAACCCCTATAAGGTCATCCCTCAACCTCCTATGCTCCAGTGGAAAAAGTCCCAGTCTATCCAACCTCTCCTTACAACTCAAGCCCTCCAGTCCCAGTGACATTCTTGTAAGTCTTTTCGGCACGCTTTCCAACTTAATATTGTCCTTCCTATAGCAGGGCAACCAGAACTGTACATAGTACTCCAAAATGGAGTCACCAACTTTCTGTACAACCACAATATGATGTCCCAACTCCTGGACTTAATTGTCTGACTAATGAAGGCAAGTGTGCTAAGACTTTCTTTACCACCTTGTCTACCTGTGGCGCAACTTTCAAAGAACTATGCACCTGCACTCCTAAGTGTCTCTGTTCGACAACACTGCCCGGCGACCATACATTACCCAGATAATTCCTGCCCCTGTTTGTTTTACCAAAATGTAATACTTTGCATTTATCCAAATTAAACTCCATCTGCTCCTCTCCTTTCCCTTTGCAATTAAGGCTAATGTTTAATTTACTTTCCTTATTATTTGCTGTACCTGCATAGTGACAATGTAAATGATGTAAAATGACCCCAGATCCATCTACACCACAGCATTCTGCAGTCTATCTCCATTTGAATGATACTCTGGTTTTCTATTCTTCCAACCAAAGTGGACAACCTCGCATTGTTGCAAATTATACTCCATCTGCCAATTTTTTTATCCATTTACTTAGCCTTTCTATAATCCTTTGTAAACTCTCGTATTTTCCTAACAACTGTTTTTCTTGCCTATCGTTGTATTGTCAGCAAATTTGGCTAAAATACAATATGAATTTCATTCAAATCATTTGTAAATATTTGAGGCTCCAAAACTGATCCCCATTGCACTGCACTAGCTACAGTTTGAAAACCTGAGAATAAACTATTGATCCTGACTCTCTGCTTCCTGTTTGTTAACTAATCATCCTTCTATTCCAATATAGTACCTGCTACACCATGAGATCTCAGCTTGTGTTGTAACCTTTTATGTGGCACTTTAATGACTGCCTTTTGAAAATCTAAATACACTACATCTATCAGTCCCCTCTGACTTGCTTGCTTTATTTTTGAAGAACTGTGATAAATTTATCAAACACAATTTCTTTTTCGTATAACCATATTGACTTTACTTGATTGTATGATAATTTTCCAAAGCTACTAATTACTTGATAATAAATTTCAGCGTCTTCCCAATAACTAATGCTAGAGTAAATGACCTATAATTTCCTTTTTCTGTCTCCCTCCATACTTGAATAGATATGTGACATTTGCAGTTTTCCAATTCACTGGAACCTTTCCAGAATCTGGGGAAATCTGGAATATTACAACCAAAGCAACCTCTGTCTCTGCAGCCACTTTTTCTAAGACCACAAGATAACCCTGCCATAGCTCCAGGGAACTTGTCATATTTTGGTTCTTTCCAAGCACTTTTTATTCTACTAATATGGGATGTTTAATTACCTCCCTTCATTTTGTTCTGGAATTTTTGCATATTGCTATTGGAATACATTTTGTGCCTTTCAAGTTGATGACAAGTAATTGTTCAAGCCTTCTATCATTTTGTAATTTCCCATTTTTCATCTGTTAGGGGAACAATGCTCTCCTTAATTACTCTTTTTTTTATATACTTATAAAGCTCTCACTGTCTGTTTTCATATTTCTTACAAGTTTACAGTCCTTCTGATTTCTCACATTTTTTAACCGCCAATTTCCAAAATCTTCCCAATCTTCTTGTCTACCAATAGTCTTTGTACTTTTGTATGCCTTGTCTTTCGATTTTGTACGATCCTTATCTTCCATGGTTAGCCACAGATGTTCCCTTATTCTCCTAGACTCTTTCTTCCTCTGTGGAATACAACAATCTCCTTAACTGTCTGCTACTGCTTCTCTAGCATCTTAAGTTCTAACCCATTTTCAATAAGACTGTAGCCAACTTTATTTTCATAGCTTTGTTATTGTCTTTATTTAAATTTCAGATACTTGTTTTTGACACAAGGTTCTCACCCACAAACTGAATGTGAAATTCTTCTCTTGCTTGCTCCTGCTTTGGGAAGCCTTTCCTATGAGACCTTTGCTAAGATCGATGTAGGGATCTGCAAACCAAAAGAAAGAAGTTTACAGAATCACTCCAAATGAAGAAATTACTGAACATTTTACTTCTTGTAACATTTACTTCAACACAAATCAAAACCAAAATAAGTCAAGCATAAATTAACAGGCAAATCAAGTTGCATATAAAATAGTGTATCCAATAATTACATCTCATCAATATTCTAGGCAGTCCACTTTACCAGAATGGCACCAATTTCAGTCATAAAGCTCTTCCAAGTTTGATTCTTCCTTGGGCAGAATGCCAATTCACTTTCTTCAAGGATGTAGCCAGTTCTCTGCAGGCAGCAGTTTTCACTAAAACAGAACCCGTGGGTTGTTTCATTCTGCCTAGCGGATTCTGAACTGTTAGATCTGTTTTGAGCCTATCCTATTTAGCACAATGGTGATGCCACACTACACAATTGAAGGCTCTGCAGTGCGAAGCTGGGACAGTGCAGTGGTCTACCTTACCAATATGATCACGAACAGATGCATCTATAGCAGGCAGACTAGTGAAGGTTAGATCAAGTACGTTTTTCTATATTATGATTCTATCAGAACCTACAACTGGCTCAATCTAGCAGAATTACCAGGCATCTGTAGCTTGGCTTGTAGTGAGGTTACCTTCACTCTGGTAATGGGCATTAAAGTCCCTTCTCCAGAGTAAATTCTGTATCCTTGCTACTCTCAGTGCTTCTTTCAATTGGTTCAACATGAGTAAATATTGACTCATCAGCTGAGGTCAGACAGTATGTGGTAATCAGCATGAAGATTTCATGCCCATGTTTGAACCATTGCAATGAGAGTTAATGGACATGGAGTCAATGGGGAAGATCCGCAGGGCCACACCTGCCAAATCATTTATTATTGTGCCACCACAATATAGTTGGTCTATCCTGCCTGTGAGACAGGGCATATCCAGAGATGGAGATGGTGGAAGCTGGAAATTTGGCTATAAGTTATGATTCTGAATGGTGCTGAACATTGTGCAATCATCAGTGAACATCTCCACTTCTGGCCTTCTGATGGAGGGAGGGCGATTGATGAAGCAACTGAAGATCTTTGGACCTAGCACACCATCCTGAGGAACTCCTGCAGAGATGTCCCAGAGCTGAGATGACTGACCTCCAACAACCACAAACATCTTCCTATGTGCCAGGTATTACTGCAACTAGCCAGAGAAGTGTCATCCGATTCCATTGATTCCAGTTTTGCCTTGGTCCCTTGATGTCACACACTGTCAAATATGGCCTTGATGTCACTCTCACCTTACACTCAGCTCCTTTCTCCATGTTTGAACCAAGGCTGTAATGAGGTCAGGAGCTGAGTGGCCCTGGCGGAACCCAAACTGGGCATCACTGAGCAGGTTATTGCTGAGCAGAAGCTGCTTGATAGCGCTGTTGATGACACTTTCCATCACTTTACTGATGAACAAGAGTAGACTGATGGGACAGTAATTATTCAGGTTTTATACGTCTTGTTTTTTTTTTGTGTACAGGACATATCTGGGCAATTTTCCACATTGTTGGGTAGGTACCCGTGTATTGTAGTTATACTGGAACAACTTGGCTAGGGATATTGTAAGTCTGGAGCGCAAGTCTTCAGATCTATTGCCGAAATGTTGTCAGGGCAATATTGAATTCCTCCAACTGATCCTTGATATCATGTGGAGTTAATTAAGACTGGCAAAGAGGTCATTCATTCAGCACTTCTGGCTAAATATTGTTGCAAATGCTTCAGCCTTATATTTCACACTGATGTTCTGGACTCCCCCATAATTATTCCAGTAAGTTTTTTAATTGCCCATCACCATTCACGACTGGATATGATAGGACTGCAGAGCTTAGATCTGATCTGTTAGTTGTGGGATCACTTAGCTCTGTCTATCATTTGCTGCTTATGCTGTTTGGCATGCAAATAGTCCTGTTTGGTAGCTTCACCAGGTTGACATCTCATTTTTAGGTATGCTTGGTGTTGCTCCTGGCATGCCCCCCTGCACTGTCCATTGAACCAGGGTTGATTCCCTGGCTTGATGGTAATGGTTGAATGGGGGATATGCTGGGCCATGAGGTTACAGATTGTGCTGGAGTACAATTCTGTTGCTGTTAATGGCCCACAGCGCCTCAAGGATGCCCAATCTTGAGTTGCTAGATTTGGTCGAAGTCTTCCCCATTTAGCATAGTGATAGTGCCACACAATACAATGTAAGATATTTTCAGTGTAAACGTGGGACTTTGCAGTATATTGCAGTACCAAAGTTGAATCACTAATTGTTTGATTTTAGTAAATGTTGCTTCTTGTCCTGCGCTCCAAAAGCACTGCACATTCTTGGCAGTGAGTTGGTGCAATGATTCAGGCTCTGATGACAAATGAGCAAAAATTTTGTTCAGCAGTTAGCAAATCCAATAAATCATTGAACTGCTTTTACAACTGTTTATCTTCACATCTCTGTTACAGGTCTCAATGTTTCAAGATCCGGTTCTATTTCTGTCAGTACATGACCCATGTATTTGACATCAGGCATCTCTAATTGCAATTTTTCTTCTTGTTCAGCTTCAGGTTCATCTGGTAAACTCTGTCTAGCTGTTGCACTAAATTTTTATTGCAGTCATTTCTGGATTCTTCCATTGTGTCTCCATTAACAAGCAGACTATCCACTCCAAGTCACTCATTAACTATCTCATGGTACCTATTTTGATATTACCCTGGAGCTATGCATTATCAAACAGCACGCTGCTTCTCTTGAGAGGTATCCAGACTGTGCTTTCATCCAGCTTCACTTGCAAGTAACCATTCCTCCTATCTAGGGTAGAGAAGATTTTTTGTCTTTGCAAGTTGTACCAAAATTTCTTTGGTTTTATTTAGATAGGGTAGTGAGATCTCATTAGAAATTTATTTAGATCCCCTTGGGTCGATATATATGTTCAGATTTCCATGTTATTTCACTGTTATCATGCTGCTAATCCATTTGGTAGGAATTGTCAATTCCTTGACTACGGCATCCTTTACCAACTTTTCTACCTTGTTTTTCAGGCTGGCCTTGAGGAGAGCTGGAACTTCCCTCAACAGAGCTGTATCAAACTTATACTCTCATCTACTTTCAGATAGTATTCACTTAGAAACATAGAAGATAGGAGCAGGGGGAGGCCATTCAGCCCCTTTGAGCCTGCTCCTCCATTCTTCACGATCATAGCTGATCGTCCAACTCAATAGCCTAATCCTGTTTTCTCCCCATAACCTTTGATCCCATTTGTCCCAAGTGCTAGGTCTAGTTGCCTCTTGAATACATTCAATGTTTTGGCATCAACTACTTCCTATGGTAATGAATTCCACACAGCTCACCACTCTTTGGGTGAAGAAATGTCTCCTCATCTCTGTCCTAAATCATCTACCCTGAATCCTCACACTGTGACCCCTGGTTCTGGACACACCCACCATTGGGAACATCCTCCTTGCATCTATCCTGTCCAGTCCTGTTAGAATTTTATAAGTCTCAATGAGATCCCCCCACATCATTCGTCCGAACTCCAGCAAAAACAATCACAACCTAGTCAACCTTTCCTCATACGTCAGACCATTGTACTCCTCTAGGATCTGATCCATAGTCCTTGAACTAATGTGGTACAACACATTGAATCTATCTTTGACACATTAAGCGTTATTAGTTTAAGTTTTAGACTTGTTTCTCTAAGATGAGTGGCTTTTGCTTGCTGTTTATGACCAAGAACTTGATGAGGGCTTCATTTTTGGATCGCTACATTCAACCACTTCACACAGCTCTGTGAAGGTCATATTGTTGCATAACACATCGGTGTCAACAGAAAGTAGGCTAATGGAATGTGTGGACATATGGCAGATGAAGGCCAATGCAGAGAATTGTGAAGTGATATATTGTGGTAGGAAAAATGACAGGAGTAAGAAGGGAGACACCTGGGAATATATGTCCATAAATTGTTAAATGTGGTAGGGTTGTTTGCAAAAATGTTATACAAGATGTATGGGATCTCTTGCTTTATATATGGAAGCATTGAGTGCAAAGCCAGAGAAACTTTGATGAGCCATTGTGAAATATTGGTTGAGCTTCAACTGTCCTATTCTGGGCACTGTACTTTAGGAGAAGGTGGAGGCTTTTGAGAGGGAGCAGAAATGATTTCGAAGAATGGTTGCGGGGATGAGCAAATGTTACATGGCTAGATTGGAGAAACTTTAGGGCAGGCTGGGTTGAGAAGAGATTTGGTAAAAGTGTTCAGAATCATGAGGGATCTAGACCAGTACTTGCCAAAATCTTCTTCCCAGCATGGCACCATTTTAATGCCTAATACATTGTATGGCCCCAGAGTGAAAATCTGTGAGGTATGTGAGTTATTAAGATACAATGGAGGAGACTTCAGCAGTTGAGCAAGGGAAGGGGCTTTAGTTCATGATCACAGGTGTGGGTGGAAAGGAAAAATAATTGATTGTGGATGGAGTTGATGAAAGCCTTTCTACAGAAATAATGTCTCCCTTTTCACAGGCTTTGTTTTCCACAAAGATCAGGCCTCAAAAAGCAGTTTGTTAGGTCATGCCTACTGATACAAGAAGGTGAGCATTTAAAGGGGCTTTGGAGCTGTTACAAACCTGCCTGAGTTCTGCCTCTAAGCTCACTGCCCCAAATCTCATCTCCAGCTCTGGTCTAAGCAGAATAGGTAAACTGATCCCACTGGTTGAATTGAAGAGAACTAGATGACACCAGTTTAAGGTGACTGGTAAGAGAACCCACAACTACAGGAAGGAAAATGTATTTATGTAGTGAGTGGTTAGGCTTTGGAATGTGCTGCCTGAGTGTGTGGTGGAGGCAGAGTAAATCAAGGCTTTGAAAAAGGGATTGGAAAAGGCACCAGAAGGGAAAATAATTAGCAGGGCTATGTGGTTTAGTTGTGTTTCTTTTGAAAAAGCTGGTATGGACGGCGCAGGCCATTGAGCTTCACTCTGTGCTGCAATCATCTTGTGATCTTATGATCCC